GAAGTGCATTAATGTACATAGTTACCGTTCAATAAAAAAAAAAAAGAAAAAAAAAAAAAAGAAATGAAATGTACCGGACATTTTAGCTTACTTGTGATATGATGTTTATACAGGATCTCAAGGATTTTTGCCTGTCGTGGGACCTTAGAATGTTCCTAACAATAATGTGTCCTGAGAACTTTAATGTTTTTTCTTCAAGAGAGTGAGGCGGATTGAGGGGAAGAATAGGGAACATTTGGAGGAAAGGGACTTCTACTTTTTACCATATGCCCTTCTGTTCTGATCAAAAATATTACAACAAGCCCATATTACTTTCTTAATAAAACAAAAACTAATTAAAAATGCAAAAGCAAATATTGGCAAGCATTTTATGAGGCTTATGAAAAATACATTAACCCTCCTGGCAACTCTGCAAGGTAGATATTAGCTTCATTTTAAAGATGAAGAAACTGAGACTCCAAGAAGTTCTAGGACTTGTCCAAGGTCATAAAGTTAATAAGTAACAGACTGAGGACTCAAACACAAATCTGATTTTAAGGCCAAGGTATAGCTCTTTAAAAATGCAATATGCAATGTTTTGTTTTATTAAACAAGCTGATAGTGGTTTGCTTGGAGGATAAGTGTGTCACTTTGGGGTTGGAGAGTGATTTATGTCCTTAGCTTAGGGCAGGAATAAAACCTAGGGATATGAAATAAATGCCTTTCTGGACTAAGGTACCCAAAGAGGAATTATATTAGCTGCCAAATGGAAAACAAATTTCCTTCTAACACTATTATTAGCATCATAAGCAGTATCATATTTCCTAAATACCATCTCTCAGCTTTGGCAACAATAAAGCCTTAAACATAGAGCTTTGCATATAGGAAACAATCAATACTTATTTTAAATTTGTTCCTGTATGGGTGTGTGTATATATTTCTGTGTATCTGTGTGTACTTCCATGGGAAATGTACTTGTATATTCTAGAAAAATAGATACCCTAACACCCAAATTTTGACTGTTGTTATTAATGACTTTTTTTCTCTTTCTTTTTTTTTTTTTAAGAGATAGAGTCTTATTTTGTCACCCTCGGTAGAGTGCCGCAGCATCACAGCTCACAGCAACCTCCAGCTTTTGGGCTTAGGTGATTCTCTTGCCTCAGCCTCCCGAGTAGCTGGGACTACAGGCGCCTGCCACAACACCTAGCTGTTTTTTTGTTGCAGTTTGGCCAGGGCCAGGTTCGAACCTGCCACCCTTGGTATATGAGGCCAGAGCCCTACCCACTGAACCACAGCCACCGCCCTTTTTTTTTTTTTTTTTTTTGAGACAGTCTCACTCTGTCACCCTGGCACTGGATAGAGTGCCATGGCATCATAGTTCACAGTAACCTCAAACTCTTAGGCTCAAATGATCCTCCTGCCTCACCCTCCCAAGTAGCAAGGACTATAGGCATCCACCACTACACCCAGCTAGTTTTTCTAATTTTAGTAGCGAGGGGAGACTCCCTCTTTCTCAGACCTGATCTCTAACTCTTGAGTTCAAGCAGTTCCACCCGTCTTGACCTCCCAGAGTGCTAGGATTACAGGCAGCACTATGTACTGGAGAAGGTGTCAGGTAAGGAGAGGAAATTCAATAAATTGAGCCAGAAAAAAACATTTTCTGTAACAGAAAAGTATTACTTTAGATCCCTGCTTCAAGTCATATTCAAAAATCAATTCTAGATTTATTAAGGATTTTAATGTCACAAGTAAGACTTTTAGGAAAAAAGTGGAAAAGATTTGTTAAATAAGATACAAAGTATACTGATCATTGAAGAGGCAATTGATAAATTCCAGTTCATTAAAACCAGGAAATTAAGCTAAGAATACCCAAAAGAAAGTCAGAAAAGAAATTACATATAGGAAGAAGTTATTTGCAATGATCTAGCCACCAACAGATTAGTATGAAAAAAGACAAGGAACTCCTACAAATCAATAAGAGAAAGCAAATTATTCCATAGAAAAATTGGGAAAAGCCATGAATAGATATTTCACAGAAATGGAGATACATGTGGCCAACATTTAATATAAAAAGAGATTATCAATCTCATTAGTAGTCAGAGAAATATAGGTCACGGCAAAAATGCTATTTTATACCCATTAATTTAGGAAAAATGTGAACACTGAATGTAAGAGAGGATGTGGCTTAATGAGAAGGCATACAAATTCTAGCAAGAGGATAAGTTATTACAGTCACATTGGAAAATAAGTTCATATTCCTGGTAAAGTTGAACAGACACATCTTCTATCCAACAGTTCTATTCCAGACTATTCCCAAGAGAAAATCCCATTCATGTACCCATGAAGACATGTACAAGAAGGTCCACAGCAGCACTTTCTTCATCATAGCAAAAAAATGGGGAAAAAAATGAAATTCCCATCGACAATGAAACAGATCAAACTCTATAATCTTTAGGAGGCTGAGGTGGGAGAATAGCTGAGCCCAGGAGTTCAAAATCAGTCTGGGCAACATAAGCAAGACTTTGTCTCTACCAAAAAATATTTTTAAACTAGCCAAGCATGGTAGGTAGTATGCACCTAGAGTCCTAACTACTCAGAAGGAAGAGGCACGAGGACATTTGAGCCCAGGAATTTGAGGTTAGTGAGCTATCATTGCACTATTGCCATTGCACTCCAACCTGGGTGACAAAGATTTTATCTCTTAAAACTAAAACACAAGAAAATCAGATTAAAGCACCTAAAACAGTCCTGGCACATAATAAAGACTCACTAAATGGTAGCTACTACGATTTGAATATTTGTCCCCTCCAAAACTCTTATTGAAATGTAATCCCCATGTGGCAGTATCAGGGCTTTGCCTTCATGAATGGATTCTGCCATTCATGCATTCATGGTTTAATGGGTTAATGGATTAATAGGCTATCATGGGAGTGGGATTGGGGATTTTATAAAAAAAAAAAAAAAGAGGCTAAGGCTACCGTGTTCAGCCCCATCATGGTGTGATGCCCTGAACCACCTTGGGCCTCTGCAAGGAGTCCTCACCAGGCAGGGCTGTCAGCAGATGCAGCCCCTTGATCTTGAACTTCTCAGCCTCAATAACTAAAGAAACAAATTCCTTTTCTTTATAAATTACCTAACTTCATGTATTCTAAGCAACAGAACACGAACAAAGACAGTACTACTACTAAGCATTAGTTTTTTCATGTATTAGATGAATACAGCAAGAATACCTATTTTACAGGAATTGTGCAGAGAATTAAATGGGAACTATGTAAATATAAGTAAGCTGTTGGCACATAAAAGGCTTTTGGTAAATGTCACTGCCTCCATACAGATCTGCGTGAGAGCTGGGAGTGGGCCACATGTTGGCAACAGCAGAGTGTATATAACAGTGTTGCCGGTCAACAGACTTCCAAGGCTGCTTGCTATTTTTTTTTTAATTTCAGATTAATATAAGGGTACAAATGTTTAGGTTACTTGTTTTCATTCCTAAGGTAAAGGTCATGTTGTAGTTGAGGCCTTCATCCAGGGAGCGTGCTGAACACCCTCACTTTAGGTGAGGCCCTGCCAATCACCCTCTCGCCTCCCACAAAGCTAATTGCTTTTGAGTCAACATTTTAATATTCACTCTGTGCCAGGAAAGCCCCTTCTGAAGTGGTGCTACTATTATTCCCATTTTACATAGATAATAACTGAGCCCTTGAGAGCTGAGACTGCTTGCCCCAGGTCACCTACCTCAGAAGGAATAAGTCTGGAATTGAACTCAGGTTGTCTGATCCAAGGCCCACGCTCAAAACCCCTGCCCTCTGCCCTACTGCTTCCCTGATGCCACCAGAGCTAAACATTAACTATAACAGAAAGCCAAACAAAATCTCTCCTGGCAGAGATTCCAGAATCCTCCTTCTTTTCCCCATCCCATTGGGGGCGGGGGGATTCACGTGCACTGGGGAGAGGGACCAGGCAATACCCAATGGGAGACCTTCCAGCAAATGTCGGCTCTGAGGAGCAGAAGCTGCAAATGGTTAATGGCCCGAAGGGCACTGGAAAGTCAAGTAAGCAATTCTTGACCTTTCAGAAGCTATTACGAGAAAAACATAAAAAAAACAATTCTGCGGGCTTAATGAAGGAATGCTGTGAAAAGTATAATGGGCTATTTGTGCACATCTCAAAAGCATCATATAATTTGGCACAATTGGCAGTCTATTCTCCAACATGGCCATGCAGGGTATTGCTACTTAGGCCCAAAGGGCCTTGGCAAAGCCAGCTTCCCACCTCCATCCCTTCTCTGAAGCCAAAGGTGGCTAGTATTTAATTTCCAAGGCTTAAACATCAGTTGCTGAAATGAGACGAGGTGCAAGCTCACTCATTTTCTCTGAGTGCAAAAATATGTTTTATATTCCAAAATACAAGCCCTATTTAGGTTTGTTTTTCTCTTCTTTTTTCTGCTATAAATACCGAGTTTTGTGGATTGTTATG